GGGCCTGAGGGTGCTACACCTGGATGCAACTTCTCCTCGGAGCAGTTGCGTGAGTGGTACTTACAGTACTGCAGCCTCCGAGGTGTTACCTCTGGGACCAGGCGCACTACAGGGACTGGGGCTGGTACTTCTCCTCCTAGTCGGGAGCTCCCCTCTCGTGAGCGGATCCGTAAGTGGTACGAGCGCCGTTGCACACTTCGGAGTGGGGTGCCTCGTCTCACGGACCCGGCTGCCCCTGGTGCTACGAACTCGGGCGTTGGAGCTGCTGCTGGTGCTGCGGACCCTGGCGTTGGAGCTGCTGCTGGTGCTGCGGACCCGAGGGTTGGAGGTGCTGCTGGTGCTGAGGACCCGGGCGTTGGGGCTGAGGCTGGTGCTGCGGACCCTGGCGTTGGAGCTGCGACTGGTGCTGTGGACCCTGGTGTCTGAGTCCCTGCTGGTGCTGAGGACCCGGGCGTTGGAGCTGCGGCAGGTGCTGTGGACCCTGGTGTTGGTGCCTCTGCTGGTGCTGAGGACTCGAGCGTTGGTGCTGAGGCTAGTACTGAGGACCTGGGCGTTGGAGCTGCTGCTGGTTCTGGTACTGCCGTTGGGGGTACAGGTGCTGTCCCTGCTGTGTCTGGAGTCGCCGCGCGCCCTCAGCCGTACTTCGTTCCGCTCCTTCAGCAGGTTCTTGGTCTCTCGCCTCCTCCTGGTCCTCCTCCCTTAGCGTGTTCACAGCCTGTCCCGTCACAGTTACAGTTGCAGCCGGCCTCCCCACTACCTGCTCCTTCTCCTTACACTAGTCCTACTGGCGGTCTTACTGAGCGTCGTGAATCTGCGTCTCGCCCTGCGTCGCCTGTCCGTCCTGCTAGCGCTAGTGCTCGTAGTTCGCGCCAGCGTCCTCCCCCTGCCCCTGGCACGCACCGGATGTCTCTACGTCCGTCTACTGCTCCTTTGCGTGCCCCTTTGCCTTCTCCTCCTGCTTCCTCTCTTCCTGCTCTCGCCGACCCTGAGTCGGACTCTCTTCGTGCTGCCAGTCCTACTGTCACGCGTCTCCTTGCTACTGTTGTCACTGACCCTTCTTTCGAGTCTATTGCTGCGTCTGCTCTCGTTACTGAGCTCGTCGACTTTGCTGCTCGCTGTCGCTTAGACTACGCTGCTAGTCTTGTCGCTGAGTCTGAGTCTGTCTGTCCTCCGTCCGTCGGGGGTGAGTGTGCCCTTGGCACGGACGTCCTTGAGGACAGGCAGGAGGAGTTCCAGTGTCTGGCAGCTGCTTCACCTCATCTCGTGTCCGTACTGCTTACCCCTGAGGGAGACCCGGATGCACTAGACATCCCGACTCCGCGCTCTTACGCGGAGGCGATAGAGGGTCCCTACTCCTCTCAGTGGCAGGCAGCTATGGATGCAGAGATGGCTTCTTGGAAGTCCACAGGCACCTACGTTGACGCTGTCCCCCCTCCTGGGGCGAACATCGTCAGTGGCATGTGGATCTTCAGGGTGAAGCGGCCGCCGGGTTCTCCGCCTGTCTTCAAGGCGCGTTACGTGGCTCGTGGCTTCAGTCAGCGACAGGGAGTTGACTACTTTCAGACCTTCTCCCCCACCCCGAAGATGACCACTCTTTGGGTACTGCTGCACGTTGCTGCTCACCGGGACTACGAGCTGCACTCTCTCGACTTCAGCACAGCTTTCCTGCAGGGCAGCCTGCACGAGGAGATCTGGCTGCGCCGCCCACCTGGCTTCACTGGGTCTTTCCCTCCTGGTACCCAGTGGAGTCTCCGGCGTCCAGTCTACGGTCTCCGCCAGGCGCCACGTGAGTGGCACGACACACTGAGGACTACGCTTGCGGCTCTTGGGTTCGCTCCGTCTACTGCCGACCCGTCGCTGTTTCTGCGCACCGACACCTCTCTGCCGCCGTTCTACATCCTCGTGTACGTCGACGACTTGGTCTTTGCCACAGCTGACACTACTGGACTCGCCTACGTGAAGTCCGAGCTGCAGAAGAGACACACGTGCACTGACCTGGGTGAACTGCGCAGCTACCTTGGCTTGTAGATCACCCGGGACAGAGCACGCCGCACCATTACCCTGACTCAGTCACACATGGTGCAGCAGGTCCTTCAGCGCTTCGACTTCACGTACTCCTCGCCTCAGGCCACTCCTCTGTCTACTCGCCACTCGCTCTCAGCTCTGCCTTCGGATGAGTCCGTAGAGTCGAGTGGCCCGTACCCAGAGCTTGTTGGCTGTCTCATGTACCTGATGACCTGCACACGACCTGACCTTGCATACCCTCTTAGCATTCTTGCACGCTATGTTGCTCCTGGGAGACACCGACCAGAGCACATGGCTGCAGCGAAGAGGGTGTTGCGCTACTTGTGCAGTTTGTCGGGCATGGGGCTAGTGCTTGGAGGGCGGAGTCCAGTGGTCCTCACTGGACACGTAGACGCTTCTTGGGCTGACGACCAGGCTACGCAGCGGTCGTCACAGGGTTACACCTTCAGCCTTGGTTCCAGCTCTGTTTCGTGGCAGGCTACTCGCTCGTCTTCTGTTCTTGGCTCCAGTTGTGAGGCTGAGATCTACGCAGGGGCCATGGCTGTTCAGGAGCTTCGCTGGCTCACCTACCTGCTGACCGACCTTGGAGAGCCGCCTCGTTCTCCTCCAGTCCTGTACGTCGACAACAAGGCCATGCTGGCCTTGTGTCGGGAGTAGAGACTGGAGCACAGAACAAAGCACATTGCTCTCTGCTACTTCCTTGCTCGTGAGCTACAGCAGCGTGGTCAGTTGCGACTTGCGTACGTGGCCTCTGAGGCCAACACTGCTGATGTCTTCACCAAGGCACTTCCGCCTTGTGATCATCAGCGCTGCTGTACCCAGCTGGGTCTTGTGTCTGTCTTGCCTCACTTGCTCTCCTCTTGACCCTCTTTGTACTGTTACATATATATATCACTGCTCTTGCTTGTTTAGTCTTATATATATATCTGTACTCCTGCATGTGAACTGGCCTTGTGGCCTTGCACTTGTGCTTGGATTGTGTGGTGACGTTGTGATCCACCCTGAGCTTGCTTTGTTTTGCTTTACTTGACTGGTCTTGTGACCCCTAGTTCTCCCCCACTTCGCCTATGGGGGTGTGTCAAACATTATATATGTTGTTGTAGTTGTTTAGGCTACAGTGGATTAGCCTATAGGGGGTACACATTCCTAGGTTTTGATACTTGTACTCATTTCACTCTTAGTTCATTCATTCTTGTTCAACACACCTACCTGCTGACTGACCTCGGAGAGCCGCCTCGTTCTCCTCCAGTGTTGTACGTAGACAACAAGGCCATGTTGGCCTTGTGTTGGGAGCAGAGACTGGAGCACGGAACGAAGCACATTGCTCTTCGCTACTTCCTTGCTCGTGAGCTACAGCAGCGTGGTCAGCTGCGCCTTGCGTACGTGGCCTCTGAGGCCAACACTGCTGATATCTTCACCAAGGCACTTGCGCCTTGTGATCATCAGGGTATTCTGTACTCAGCTAGGTCTTGTGCCTGCCTTGCCTCACTTGCTCACCACTTGACTTTGTTTGTACTGTTACATATATATATATACTCTTGCTCTTGCTTGTCTAGTCTTATATATATATGTGTAATCCTGCATGTGAACTGGCCTTGTAGCCTTGAACTTGTGCTTGGAATGTGTGGTGACTTTGTGATCCACTCTGAGGTTGCTTTGCTTTGCTTGACTGGTCTTGTGACCTCTTGTTCTCCCCCACTTTGCCTATGGGGGTGTGTCGGATTTATATGACATAGGTGTTGTAGGCTATAGTGGGGTAGCACATTTGGGGTACGACTTTCTAGGGTTTGTACTTGTACCCAACTTTCCCTTAGTCAACTCATTCTCGTTCATTTTAACAGTTCCTCTCCATACCAGGCATCGATTCAGCGGCGTGATCACTGGCTGCGCCTGAGCGTTGTCCCACGCTGTCGTTTTGTGTCGGTGTGCCTGGCGAAATGTCGATCGGCTCTTCCGATTGTGCGGGTGCATTTGCAGGTGCGTGTGGTGGCGCTGGAGCATTCACTATGGATTGCTGACGAGCGGAGTCGCACTTTGCCGTGAGTGTCGCAATTTCAAGTTCGAGTCTTCGATTTGGCGCACGAGACGGTCGAGTTGCTCCGCGTTAGTGTCGCGAGAGTGAATTCGGCCATGGCGGGGGTGCCGGGCAAGCTCAGCGAGAGCCTCTGTCGTGACCGTGCGTGCTTAAGAGAGAGCACTACGAGCGGCGGTGCTTGTTTCGCTGAGAGATGTCTACCCCCCCCAAAAATTGAGATAGTGGGGACGCGAAGGTGTGGGTGTGGTCCGAGAAGAGATCCTAGGTTATGAATACCAAGTGTTACGAGTGCAATTGAGTGAGCGAGCGAGAATTGCATTATCGAAGCAAAAAGTACAGTGAGCGAAGGATTGAGCGAGAACTAACTAGCGAAGGCCACAGTGGTAATGGTAACGAACTGTGGGTGACGTGCGACGGGCCTGGGACTGAGGTTGGGAAATGTCGAGGCGGAGGCCCGGAGCGCGGGTTACCAGCCGAGCCGTGAGGTCGGGGTGCGACGTGCGAAGGTGGCGAGAGGATTGTCGAAGCGAGGGTTGCGAGTGGTAACGGTGCTGACTGTGGTGCTACAGTGATGTACGCGCTAAGCAGGGATTCGGTGTAAGGAAATGGAAAATTGGTAACAAAACAGACCACACCTAACTAATGGTCAAATTCGTAACCATTCCCAAATCGTACCGCTAAGCGCGCCGAGTTGCCGATTTCGTAACACGCTTTCTGCGAGGCTGCCTGCAGCAGAAATTGGAATCACTGCGTTGTTACGCGGGGCGGAATGGGTGTCGCCAGCGGGGGGAAACGCGGAGTGGCGTCCGCGGATTGCGCAAGTGGCAGCAGCGCACGCAGGAGCGGTAGCGGCATCCGCGGACGCGCAGCGTGGCGGAACGCGGCGTGGTTCGCAGCGCACGTGTGCGCGGCGCTGGTCGTGCGCGCGGGGTTGGCGCAAATGGGACTCGGTCGATGGCTGGAGACGCGGCCCGAAGTTGTGTCCACAATCAACTCTCGCGCCGCGTGTGAGAATAAGATCCAGCGAGCGGGACGAGCGCGAACGGGCCAGAATCAGGCAACGACGGGGCAGGGGTTTTAGGGGAGGGTAGTACCGTAGGATACCGAGGTTATTATTGGACGGAGGCTACTACTAGGGTGTTTCAGCCCAGCGGGATGCACGCCTAGGGGTGCCTGGGGGAAGAAGCGGGAGGGGGGAGGGGAGGGGGGAAATGCGGAAAGAGGGTGAAAAGATGACTCGAAAGGGCTGAGAGGCGCCTCAAAAGATGACTTTCGAGGCGCAGGCGCCTTCTGAGTGATTCACCCTTGCTTCGTTAGCCTTGATTCCTGAGAGAGAGAGAGAGTCCAGGTTCAACGAAACTAAGGCCGCTCCTTGGGCCTTATAATAGGTCTTCCTAGGGTTCCTCGTCGTCTGGAGCTTGTATTTCGCACACCTCACTGAAGGTAGCTGGCTAGCTGGCTGGCTGGCTAGCTGGCTGGCTGGCTGGCTGGCTTGCTGGCTGGCTGGCTAGCTGGCTGGCTGGCTGGCTGGCTTGCTGGCTGGCTGGCTGGCTGGCTTGCTGGCTGGCTGGCTAGCACCTCCCTCATTTCAGTATGGTATGTATGTACCTCATCCAGAGTTGGTATTTGTAATTGCCGCTGCAACACACACCTCCCTCCCTCCCTCCCTCCCTCCCCCTTTTCCCAATGCAGTGCTGGAAGCTCATTGGCTCATAGATCACGGCCTCTCACCCTACTCTGGTATGTCATGCCACGTCGGCATGTCTCTGCTATCCCCGTGCCTCCAAGCAGCTAAATGAATCCCTCACCACCGCACACATGCCTGGAAGAACCGCTCTCTATCCACCACCCTCGTCCCACCACTCTCGCCATCTATACTACTGGCACGAACCCTTACCTTTCCGATCTGCATACTATGCAGGGCGTCAGCATGGCATTTCGGCACACCTACACTTCCTTCTGCATCTTACTTTTCCTCTTCCCACCTCTCTCCTCTCCCCTCTCCTCTGCATCACAGGCCCTCACTTCCAAGCTTCTCCCGTCCTGCTGCTCCTGCCCCCCTTCCTCCTCTCCCCAATCAACTTGTAAGCCACACTCACACCACTGCTCCCTTTCTGACTCAACTCCCTTTCTGTAGTAAATCCGCCTCTGCCTTCTCTCTTTCATCTTCCGCTGCCATTCCTACATCACATCACACTCACAGACCCACCCCTTTTTGTGGACACCCCCCTCCCCTACCCCCTTCTGTACATCACACTCATACCCCCTACCCCCCTGCCCCTTGCGCACTCAATAATTTCTCCGTTTTTCTTCCGCTGTTTCCCCATATTTTCTCTCGAACCGGCTCCGTCCCTCTTATTCTCCCACCCTGCTTTTCGCCCCGCTTCCCGTTGCTCCCACTCCACTCTCCCCCACTCGGTTCCCCCCAATCCGCCTCGTCAGCATGCTCCTTTTAACTATATCAGACATCATCACAGCTGCCCTCCTCCTCCTCTCCGGATCCCTCCTCCACCCCTCCTCTCCCTCCACCTCTTCTCCCTCCACTACCTCTCCCCCATGCCACTCTCCGCCTGCTGCCACTTCTCTCCCACGGCCCTTGGGGCTTGGAGCTTGGAGCGCCCTGTTGCTGCTCTGGAGCCCACTCTCTGCTGCCGCTGCCATTGCTGGTGCTGCCTCCTCGCTTCTCTCGCTGCCGATTGCGCTCGCACTCGCTTCTGCTGCTGCGGGTATGTGTGTCTGTGTGTGTGCTGCCCTGCTGCACTTACAGTTTCGTGTGATTGCAACTTGTACTGACAGGCAGGCATTTTGTTCCTGTTTACGCACACGCCAAACCAATCCCCACTCCTCACTCTCTCCCATTACAAACCTTCCTCCCTCCCATTACTACCCTCTTCCCCTGCCACTCTTCCGGCTTTCACCCTCTCCCCACCCTTCCTCTCCCCACGCTTCCCCCTTTCTCCTCTCAGCCTCCCACTCTCCTTCTTTCCTAACATGAAGGCAACCCACCATTGGCAGCCATGGGTATGGCTCTATGCATGCTCCGCTCCTTTCTCAGGCCTTTCTTCCCCTCTGCCTCTCACGCTTCACTGCACTTCCCATTTCCTAACATGCAGGCAACCCGCCTCTGGCAGCCATGGGTATGGCTCTATGCATGCTCCTGTCGCCTTCGTCCACTGTGCTGCTAGTGCCGGTACGTATGCCAGCTTCCCCCTCCCATGCCCATCATTTGCCCCCCACATGCCCCTCACATACCCCCCACATGCCCCTCACATACCCTTCCTCCACGCCTATTTTGGCAGGTCCTACTGCTTCTGCTCAACAGACCCTCGTCCCAATCAGCTGCCACTATCCCCGTGCCAGCTTCTGCTAAGCACACAGCACCAGCAGTAACACCATCGCCAGCAACAGAAACAGCAGAAGCAGCACCAGCAGCAGCAGCAGCAGCTGGAGCAACAACAGCAACAGCCACTACCCATTCGCCTCCTCGCCCCTCTCCCCTGCGTCTCCACCTCCTCCTCCCCTTCCTCCTGCTCCTCGCGCTCTGGCTACTCACAATCCTTGCCGCCTGTCACCTGCTGCTGCTCCCCTATGGGGGTCTGCTTCCTGCTTTCTCACAGTAATTCTCCTCACGCTCTCCTTTCCCCATCACCTTCAACCTCATCCCCTCCGTTGCTCCCCTTCCTCTCCTACCCCACCTGTTCCTCCTCCTCTCGATTTTTCCTGCTTGCCCTTCTTTTCCATTTTCTTGCTCTGATTCGCCCCCTTTCAAGCAGTCATGTCCTGGTTTGAAAAACGGCAGTCCTTCTTTCAAGAAAGTGCTGAGCACACCTGCCTTACAATCTCTTCAGAATAATCCTGCCTTAACCAAAGTTCTTTTGGAGTCGACTCAAATGCAATCTCTTCATAATGATCTTGCCTTAACAATATGCAAGTTTTTTCCTATGTCACGTGAAAGCATCAAGTCGCGTGTGCCATTCCTTCCCCCCGGTCCTCCCATCCCTGCAGCATCTATCCGTTCACTCTCCTTTTAGTACCCTCACTTCACTCAAAAGTCGTCTCTTCAGCGTCCGTCTGCTCTTGCCTTCCTTCCCTTCCCCTCCGTCCGCCCATCCCCTCAGTGTCTATCCCTTCGCTCTGCAGCTCTCAGACCTCACACCCAATCTCGGCCTGCGCTGGTTTGTCAACTACCCTCTTTCTTTGTTGCCTGCGTTCACTTCCACTCCTCCCTTTCGTTCCTTTTCCCAACGCCTTTTTTCGTCGCAAATTTCTTTTTTATACTTGCCGTCGCCGCACATATCACAAATTGTTGTCGGCCCTCCCATCCCAGAATACGAGGTGACTTTTGAGTTTTGGGTCGACTCAAAAGTCACCTTGTTGTGGGCCCTCCCAGAATACTGCTCGCTCTCTTGCTTGCTTGTTTCTCTCTCTTCCATAACCAAGTAGACAATTACCTTCCCATACACGACTCCTTGCCTCCTCCCTTCCCCACCCCACTATACCTCCTCACCTCTCCTTCCTGCCACACATGCTCCCCTCCCCTCCTCCCCTCCTCTCCTCCCGTCCCCTCCTCTCCTCCCGTCCCCTCCCCTGCTCTCGTCTCTCCCTCCCTCACCACCAGGTATTTCTTTGCAGAGGCCTTTGCCTGCGTCCGCTCAGAGCACCTCTTAACACCCTTCTTTCATACTTGCGTAACCTTCTTGGCAAACGCCAACACATTGAAAACCGTGGGAGTGAGATTTGATGCTGCGTTTTTTTTTTTTCTAGAATTCTCAAGAACCCTTCTTTCATACCCACCTCCCCCTCCCCTCCCCTCCCCTCCCTCCCCACCAGGTATTTCTTCGCAGAGGCATTTGCCTACATCCGCCCCTTCTACTCCTTTGTCTTCTCTGCCATGCTCCTCCTCGTGCTGCCTCCCCTCACCCTGCGCCTGCACCGCCGCCCATTCTTCCTCGCCTTTGCACTGCTCCTGTCCGCCCACATCGTCGCTCCTTACCCCACTGTATGGTTACATCACATGCACCCCACACCATCACATGCACCCCACTCCATCACATGCACCCCACACCATGCCCCCCGCCCTGCGCCTGCACGGCCGCCCATTCTTCCTCGCCTTTGCGCTTCTGCTCTCCTCCCACATCGTCGCTCCCTAACCCACTGTACGGTTGCATTACATACAGCACATGGCAGCGCATGGCAGCGCATGGCAGCGCATGGCAGCGCATGGCAGCGCATTGCAGCGCATGGCAGCGCATTGCAGCGCATGGCAGCACGTGGCAGCACGTGGCACCCCATGCACCCCACCCTTTGAATTGCACCGCCGCCCTCACTTCCTCACCTTAGCATTTGCGCTCCTGCTCTCTGCATACATCGTCGCTCCCTACCCGACCGAATGGCTTTTGAGACGTGTTATATCCCCCCCCACCTCGCCTCCCTTCCCCACCCATTGTAAGGGGTGCATCACATGCAGCCATGTAGCTCGTGGCACCGCATGGCACCGCATGGCACATCATGAAACCACATTGCACTCCAGCAAATGCGCGATGTGCTTATAGACTGCTCATGACTAGAAGCACTGCATTCTTACTCTGCACTCACCCTTCTCCACCCCTCTCCACCCCTCTCCATCCCTCTACTTCCCCCCTGTATTCACCAGGTAGGGGAGTCGGGGTTTATCCTTGCCTTGCTGCCCCTGTTCCTCCCTCAGCTATCAGGTTTCGTCCCCTCCTCTCATATCTTCCTCCTCTCCCCTCCTCCTCTCCTCTCCTCCTGTCGTTTTCCTTGTCCCATTCCCCCATTCCTTTCCACCCATGCCCCTCTGCCACATCTCTGTCCTTGCCTGTTTCTTGCTTTGCATGCACGAGAAGGCTCCAAGCATGTTCCTTGCCTTTTGCCTTTTGGTGCCGTTCCCTCCCCTTCTGTGGCCTTTGCATCAGCAATCCCTATCCCCTGTGCAACCATGCACTCATGCTCCCACCCATACACTGCTCTGCCTCCTCCCTCTCGCTCCCCACTCTCAATTGCAGCGATGCGCTTTGTGTTTGTCATCCTCTTGGGCTATCTCCTCGTGCACACCACTGGGCCTTTTGAGGGGCCTCCAAAGCCCTCTCCCTTCTCCCTCTCCCTCCTCCCTCTCCCTCCTCCCTCTCCCTCCTCCCTCCCGCCCCCCCGGCCTGATCGCAGCGATGCGCTTTGTGTTTGTCATCCTCTTGGGCTATCTCCTCGTGCACACCATGGGCCCCACCATGTGGGATCTGTGGATTCTCAAGGTGAGAGAAAGGGGATGAACCTCCACACACCCCCTCCCCACCAGTAGTCGCTTTCATCTCCTCCCCCCACCTCTGCTGCTCCTCGTGCACACCATGGGCCCCACCATGTGGGATCTGTGGATTCTCAAGGTGACAACCACAAAGCCTCCACCACACAGCCTCCACCACAAAGCCTCAACCACACAGCCTCCACCACACAGCCTCCACCACACAGCCTCAACCACACAGCCTCCACCACACAGCCTCCACCACACAGCCTCAACCACACAGCCTCCACCACACAGCCTCCACCACACAGCCTCAACCACACAGCCTCAACCACACAGCCTCAACCACACAGCCTCAACCACACAGCCTCAACCACACAGCCTCAACCACACAGCCTCAACCACACAGCCTCAACCACACAGCCTCAACCACACAGCCTCAACCACACAGCCTCAACCACACAGCCTCAACCACACAGCCTCAACCACACAGCCTCCACCACACAGCCTCCACCACACAGCCTCAACCACACAGCCTCCACCACACAGCCTCCACCACACAGCCTCCACCACACAGCCTCAACCACACAGCCTCCACCACACAGCCTCCACCACACAGCCTCAACCACACAGCCTCCACCACACAGCCTCCACCACACAGCCTCAACCACACAGCCTCAACCACACAGCCTCAACCACACAGCCTCAACCACACAGCCTCAACCACACAGCCTCAACCACACAGCCTCAACCACAAAGCCTCCAACTCTAGTTGCTTTCCTCTTCTCTCCTCCCTCTCTCCTCGTAGTGCGCACCCCCCTATTGTACTGCATGAGCCCAACCATATGGAACCTGTAGATTCTCTGCTCTCTTCTCCTCTCCTCCCTTCCCTTTTCTTTCCTCTCTTCGCCTCCCCTTCGTCCCCTCTTCTCATCTCCTTTCCCCTCGCCCCCCCCCCCCCTCCCCCTCTCTTCTATACTTTCCCCTACTCTCTCCCCTCTTCAGTTCTCTGAGCTCTTAAGGAACTCATTTAGATTTTTAACTGCTGCGTGAATTGAGTTTTCCAATTTTATGGTGTAGTGCTATGGTAATCTATTAGAACCAAGCTGTATGCCATACATCCCAGCAACTCCCCCCCGTTGCATCCCCGCGCCCGTGATTTTCCCACCCATGTGTCATATTTGTTTGCAGAGCATTGGGAACGCCAACTTCTTTTTTGCTGTGGTCCTCATTTTTGCTGCTATTCAAGTAAGTTCGTTTGCTGCTTGTTCACACGCATGAACAGCTGCTATGTGTTGAGGGCAAGCTGTGATTCTTTGCTGGATACATGACTTCGGGATGTGAAACCATCGTGTTTTTCGAGTACAGAATGTGGGTTAAACCTTTCCACATGTCTTGTCAACATGACTCGTTTGTGCCATCTGCAGGGACTGCTTCTGGTGGAATCAGTGCATACAGTGCTAATGCATGATCGTACGCTCAAGAAGCTTGACATGGCATCACAGATGCTCAGTGTATCATGAAATTCTTGCAGTGCAAATGCATGTTCGTCCGTTGAAGAATCCTGGCATTGCATCACATGTGCTTTGTGTGTTATTATTATATTTTCGTCATTTCATAATGATGGGAAGCATGCGCTACATTTTCAAGCTGTACGTTCAATAGGAGACTACGAAGTGTAGGTTCGTTCTGTATCGAAACAGCGGAAAGCACGCAAGTGGGCGGGGACATTTTTGCGCTGTAGATGCTGACTTCTGTCGGGCTGTCGTCGAATGCCGTTGGCATGTGTGGTTTGTTTGTTTGCCTCACTTCTTTCTCACGTGGAGGGCAACACACATGATGCGGGCGGTGCCCCCAAGCTGTGGCGGAGAGCGGACAGTTCTTACATCGAAAACAGCACGCTGGATACAAGTGGCTCATCCCACCATTCCACCTCACCTCTCTCTCCTCTCCTCGCTCCCGCCCATACTGCTGATTGATTTGGTGCCAGAGCCGCAGTTCCGTCGAAATACACCCTATACAAAACTTTAGCGACTGAGTGGAAAATATTTTGGATGCAGGTTCATTGACTGGTTTCAGGGTGGCCTCCGTCTTCAACGGAGAATATGGGAAATGCGCCGTGTACATTCAGCCCAAAGAAGCAGCGTAAGGACGTGGCCCAGACCGCCTCTGATCGGCACTGATCTGATCGGGTCTGATCTGATCGGGTTGCTTGTGATTGCCTTGCTCGCGCCGCCCGATCAGTGCTGTTATTCCTAGAAAATTTAAGGCGATTGCTCGGCAGGCGCGTCAGCATTTCCTTATCCTTTCGTCCCCATTTTGGCGAGAACTAAAACGTAGCGAATTTATCATTTCCATGTAACGTCGCAAATTTTACTTCACGAAATCCTGCACGACAGCTTGACGAGCTAAACAAGAAACTGTAATATTTTCGCAAGTGTCGCCAAGATCCCCAATCACATGCAATCAACTGATCGCGACTGATTGTGGGTGATCGTGACTGATTGGGGTGTTTTTGGCGGTTGATCGAGTTGGGGCGATCATTTGATCGCGATCATTTGATTGCCCTTGATTGCCTGAAATTGGCCTAGGGGCTTCTTGGAAGTTAATGATCGCCTCTGATCGAGGCGATCAGAGGTGGTCTGGGCCACGTCCTAATCTGAACCAGTCCAGAAACAAACAAACAGCTGCGGGTGCTCGGACCTCATCCCACGTGTTTTTTCCTTGGGAGAGTACACCCCAGATCCCAGAGTTTCAAAAACAGCTCAAACTTAACCCGACCTAACCCAAAAAATATAACTCTGTGGAGTTTAACTCACGCGAGGCCCAGATTATGTCCAAAACTGGTCCTGCGGAGCAAACCTCTCTACACGTGTCCGCTTCGCACCAGTCATGTTTTGACGGGGCAAACAAAACATAGCCCTAGGAAACAGGACACATTTCGGGAGGGATCAACCCTAAACACCGGACGGGTTCCCCTGTTTATGGCTGAGCCCTCCCGAAAAAATGTCCTGGTTTCCCTAAGGGTTTCATGTTTTTTGCTCCCTCAAAAATTTCCATTGTGAAATTGGACACGTGTCGAAATTCTAGCTCTGGAAGACCAGTTTTGAACATAATTAGGGCCTCGCGTGAGCAAAATTCCACAAACTCAGACTTTGTGAGTGAAATGAGGACTAAATTTAAAATATTTTTGAAAAAATGGCATGTACTTTCCTTCAAACATCGTCCTTGCTCCTTCCCCGACCATTTCACACTGCCCTTCGTCTCCTACTTCCATCTGTTCGGGAAGCCCCGAGCCAAACATCACAAAATGATGAGCAGCTGCAGTGGAGCATTGTTCGAGTACTACAGATCCATTCCCCGCTCGTGGTCGGGTCACTTCACATTCTGATAAATGCAAGATGCCCTCAATGGAGTTATACGAAGGAAATGTTTTTTAAAATAGCCCTCCATGGTCACATCAATTTGTTGTACAAATCACTTTGCAAAACTTGATCCATAATTTTCAAGCACTTTGCAATCTTTAGTCTCTATAAAACTTGGCGTGGGAGCAGGGACATCGAGAATTTCCTCGTTTGTAGGGAATTGAACTAGCTAATCTCCCAACGTTCACACTGCTCAACCACTCGGATATTGTGAAATGCCCAAGATCAAAAGGAGCGGCTCAGCGCACCGTACTCTTACCCAGCGTGTCAACCACTGGTGGTGGCATTCCCATGTTGTGCGGCGTTCCGCCGCACGATCCGTTACAGCATGTGTCGAGTTCGGTTCAGGCGTGCGAAACAGTATAACGCCTTTTCCAACTTCACGTGTCCTCGCGCTTTCCACCTCATCGTCTCATTCCCTCCTCCCAAAGTTCCGCCTCATCCACGCTCGAACCGCATCCTGGTGGTTCACATGGTGGTTGGCGGATCCCATCCCTTTTCGTCGGTTCGCACGGATCGCCATAAATGCATGTCGGTACGCGTCGCGCTAACGGCGGATCCGATTTACGCATCTCCCATCGATGAAGCATATTCTCCACGCATTCTTCCTGCCTCTTCCTACCTCCTGATCCCCTTTCCTACTTCTAGCCCCTTTCCCCCAACTTCCATTCTGAATGGACTTCGCATGTTCTTTACGTCTGTGCCTTTCAGTTACTCGTCGTTTCCACTTTATGCGGCGTTCCAGACAAAGTATGCAGCATTCTGAACGAGAAAACCAGACCGGATCCTCCGACCAACGAACAACACGCTGAACGGCTCAAGCTTCCAAAGCGGATCTCCTATCTCTCCGTGGCGTTTTCGTCGGCTCAACTCCACCCAGAGCTTTTACAAACCATCGTTCTCCCGCCTTGTAGTGCCTTAGCAGTAAACACATCTATCGTTCCAAATTCGCATTCTCCGAGCGAACGAGGTGGAATCAGTAAAGCATCGGGGCGTCATGAGCACGGCGACTCTAGCCGCATTGCACGCTAGCCCTCCCGCCATGTCATCAGCGCATAGTACAGCCAGCAGCAGCAGAAGCAGTTCGCTGCGGCTTAAGATCTGCGGCGACATTATCGCGGAGGAGTTACCTTGGGTGCCTCGTGACTGCCACCATTCGCACCCACACTCCAACAACAACCCACCAGCCGTGAATTCTTCTTCCGAACCGCCGCCGCGAGCTGCGCGTTTCGAAGACGACGGTCGCGACGACGAGATCTTCAACGACGACTCGTCGCACGAGGGAAGTACCTATGGCGAAGCCCATGCGACGCCGCCAGAAGCGCGCGACGGCGTGTCGCGCGACAGCAGTAAGGCTGTCAGGCGGAGTCTAGCCGATGTCGAGATGCGCGCATTGGAAGGCAAATTAAAACTTCTCGACGTGCAACGGGAGCTAAGCTCTCTCCACTGCCAGCGCTTCATCCACGTACTCGAATCGACTCTCCACGCGAGCAGAAGCGCCCCTACGACACCATTCCCGACAAATAATACCTCCAACCATTCCCGACCGAGCAATAAACTGTCCGCTGGTTCGGATCCTCTTACTGGGGGCGACGCGGTTGGCGCGGCTCCGTCCCTTGGAGTCTGCAACAGCCTGCCTTGGGACTATTACGCCGGCGGCGGCGCGGCGGGAAAACATGATTACGACCTTCAACGGTCGCTTCCGACGCGCTCCGTCTCCCTGTCCCTGTCTCTCGCGCGCTCGCGCTCGACGCCTGGGTCGCTGCACAACAGGCTGGATTCGCCGCGCGTCAGGAGGGCTGCGACGGCCGCGACTCCGCGGAGCAGCAGACGGCATCGCGCCGCCGCCACAGCAGCAGCAATTGGGTTTTGATCCGCTGAGTAATTCTCATAATAATGCCATTATTCGTGGTATTGTCATTCTCATCAGTATGATAATGACGACGACGAAGATGGCATTCGTGATTGCCATGCCTCCGTTACAAACGGCCCAGCTGGGATGATTCAAGGGTCTCCCAGCTCATTGAGAGAGCAGAGACTCTCTGAGAGCCGCGGAACAGTGTGGCTACACTGTTTTCTGCAGGCCTCACGACTCACGACTCACTGCTGCTTGGCTCGGCTCGGCAGGCTGCTGCTGACGTGGCAGCACCCAGGTGACCCCAAGTGTCTCGCTTCACTATCCATGGCGGTTGCGGCTGTGGCCTTTGGATGCTGTTCAATTGGTGGTTCTACTGCCTGTAGCTGATCTGTAAAATCTGTCAAAGCATACGAAGACTTACCGTACGGTACAGAAGTCAGGTCGCTGGGGATACTGCATATGCGCATCCAGTGATACACTGCTTTCTGCTCCTAATAAGGGAGCAGCTTTAGTGCCTTGCTGTTCCGCTTTCATGTACCATGGCCATGTCTTCTATTCCCCCCCCCCCCCCCCCCCCCCCCCTTTCTCATTAGTATTACCGTAGGTGGGATTATTTGCCCACATTGTATGTAGCATGTACAGTGTGGATGTCAGCTGGCTGCCAAAAGCTTTGTACACAATGAACAATATTATGGATAACGACCTTTGTAATACACATGCATGATTGTCATACACCATCACAGGCAAGTTTCTGAAATATTGCCACGTGAACTCACTGTGTATGTACTGACTATTCTATGCAAATACACTATACCCACTCTTTGCCAGGGGTGTAGCTAGTCACATTAGCACATTTAACAAGAATTGACAACGCAAGTCTCAAGTTAGACTGCATCGTACACTACTATAAACACCTGCCATTACCGTACTACTACGTATAGACACCACACTCTCAACCCCCACCTGCAAACCCCTATTCCCCATAAATATCACACACAGCCACCAAACCCCGTATATCCGCCCTCGTGCAAGCTCGGGGTCCTGCTGGGCGGCGAGATTCTCCCGGTTGTCATGCGCCCAGAACCCGCCAATGTCAATCAGCATGTTGCACACCGTTTCGCCCTGCTTGCAATCCACTGGGTCTTCCAATTACGGGGGCTCGGGGTCCTGTTGTGCAGCGAGATTCTCCCGGTTGTCATGCGCCCAGAACCCGCCAATGTCTATGAGCATGTTGCACACT